TAGAGCAACTCCAGAAATGTCTTGATACTAGTCTCCTCAGAAGTTTAGCTTATCATCCGCAAACTGATGGTCAGACAGAAAGGGTAAATCAGATACTTGAGGATATGTTGAGAACTTGTGCCATTTTTTTCCTGAGAAGTGGGACGAATGCTTGACTCGAGCTGAGTTTTCTTATAACAATAGCTATCAAGAAAATATTCGTATGGCCCTTTTGAGGCCCTGTATGGTAGGAAACGTAGGACACCATTTAACTGGATTGAAGTAGGTGACCATGGATATTTTGGGCCTGATTTTATCAAAGAACCTCGAGAACAAGTTAGTATTATTCAGAGACATTTGAAAGCAGCTTAAAGTCGTCAGAAAACTTATGCGGACAAGCAAAGAAGGCCCTTGTAATTTAAAGTTGGTGATCATGTGCATCTCAAGGTATCTTCCATGAGAGGTGTACATCGATTTGGTGTCCGTGAGAAGCTAGCCCCTCGCTATGTGGGACCTTACAAGATTTTGGCCCAGTGTGGTTCTGCTGCCTACCGTATCCAACTTTCAGACATTTTGTCGACAGTACATAATGTCTTTCATGTTTCTCGGTTGAAGAAATGTTTGAGAGTTCCCGAGGAAGTAATGGAAATTGAAGGACTTCCCCTCCGGCTCGACTTCTTATATTGAACATCCTGTCAAGATCTTAGATGAGAAAAAAAGAGTGACTAGAAACAGTGTTGTGAAGTTCTATAAAGTTCAGTGACAAAATTACTCGGAGGACGAAGCAATGTGTGAGCCCGAGAACCTGATGATCGTAGATTATCCATGGCTGTACACATTCAACGTTATCCACCGGGGATGGATAATCTGCGGTGCCCAACGGCATAGTTAGGTTCTACCGATCAAAATACTATTATACCCTTTGGATAAATATAGAAATCAATTCCTAACCCACTAAATTTTAGTTGTGGCCTACGACTTAAATTCCTCTCATTAGATTCCTTTACATTTTTAACCATTAGATCTACATGAACGAAAACCTCTCATTATTAGTATCAATGGGATGATCTTTAAATCTAGTTTTTTTAATAAATTTATTTGAAGATACAAATATTACATGTATTTTTTATAAATCAAGTCAAACTTATAGCATATACACCAACGGCGATAGTTATTTAGGGACCAAGAAAATATATATGCTAAAAGCTAGCACTATTGAGAAAAGGTAGGTTAGAGCTAGCACTGGGGCCTTGCGGGTGTCCTGAGGAGCGCAGCATGTGACGCTAATATTGGCGCACAGCCTGCCTGCCGGTGGACGAACGAGTCCGCAAGCAAGCTGCTGGGTGGTTGGGTTGGTGCAGTCCCCGTCCGTTTCCCCGCTGCCCCCTTTTCCTGCGGCCTGCTCCCTCCCCGCCTCAGCTTCCCCGCCGGCGACCAGTCCGGCGACGGAGAACGCATGGCACCCATTAATCCATTATTGTTTAATAACGCGGAGTACTATAGTTTAGCTGCAATAATGGAGAGTAGATTATTGTCGCAGCCTTTGTTTAGTTGGAGAATTAACTAATCACGGGGCGGCAGGGAGAGGTAAAGCTACCCAGCTAATTGGCGCCGGTTATTCTAATGCCCTAAAGCTTCCCTGCACTTGACCTGTGACCAGGATCCACGTTCTCTAACGACTTGGGATCACTTTTTTTTTATTGTAACAAACCGTCACGGCAACTTGCAAGGTGTGGTTAACTATAACTGGGGTAACTTTTCTAGCCCAGATGCATGCTGCACTGCATACTGCAGGTGGTGGGCCGTCGGATCTCTTCACGCGATCAACGTGCACCGGTCGGTAGCACCTAGTGCTCCTAGCAGACGTCACGTCAGGGACGCCAAGATGGCCACATGCATAAACTCACATGACGAAAATTGATAAGTGCCTGGGCTTGCCTTGCTAAAAAGAACAGAGGACGAATATTAACTACTTCCTTCGTCTTAAATTATAAGTTATTTTAAGAATATTGAAGAGTCCAAGCATCTCAAATTTAACTAAAATTATAAAAAAATTATAAAAATTTATGACATCAAATAAATATTACTATAAAAATATAGTTATGAAGAATCTAATGATACTTAGTTAGTATTATAAATGTTATTATCTTATCATATAAATTTGATCAAACTTGAGATACTTTGTACTCCATATTAATTTATAATTTGAGATGGAGAGAGTACTACACTACTACTGTACTAATCAGGAAGCAGATGAGGCAGAGCAACCGACCGCTGCCAAAACCAAACCTAAAGCCGTCGCGCTCGCTCTCGTTTTCTGCTCGGGAATCGATCGGCGGAAGGAAAGGAAACGCACGCGGAACACCGCGAGGCCGTTGTCGTGGGGTCGGGTCGACAGGGACGCGCCCGCTGCTGCGCCCACTATGGCACTATCCCCTGTTCCCGTTGCTCCTTTTTTTTCATCATCCTCCGTCCACTGTGACCCGCGCCTCGTATTCTCGACCACATTAATTGCTGCTACAGACCGTTTTCGTGGATTCATGTCGAATTGTCGATTGAGAGGGTGTATAGATGCTTTTTGAAATGGTAAAACTTTTCTCTCTGATTGTTTGCTGTAAATTTTTTTGCTATTTAAATTTTACATCTGGCTATTTAGATGCATGACAAATATTTAGCCCTGTACCAAACAAGTTCAGTCTACAGCTCATGCCCCAAAGCGTTTTTCTCAGTTTTAGGCCTTTTGGGGAGTAAATGGCAAAAGTTTAGTAGCCTAGGTTTTGCTTTTTTTTAGCCCATGTTTAGATCTATTTTACCAAAAGATAGACTAAGGGGTGTTTGGTTGTTCATCCTAAATTTTAGTCGCTGTCCCATCGGATGTTTGACACATGCATAGAGTATTAAATATAGACTAATTACAAAACTAATTACATAGTTTATGACTAATTTGCGAGATGAATCTTTTGAGCCTAATTAGCCCATGATTTGACAATGTTTTGCTACAGTAACATGTGCTAATGACGGATTAATTAGGCTTAAAAAATTTATCTCGTGGAGTACTAACGGATTATGTAATTTGTTTTTTATTAATATCCGAACATCTCATACAACATCTCCCGACACATCTCCTAAATTTTAGTAGCTGGATCCGAACACCCCTAAAAGTGCTAAAATTTTGGTAAAAGATGGGAAATTAACAGGGCCTGAGTAAACAAAACTATGTATATTTGGTATACGGAGTACGTACCAGGTACGTTCGGGAGACTGTGGACGAAATTTCGATGGGGGAGACCCTGTCTCTTGCCAGCCTTTTCTCTATCTTGTCGACCAATGCTTGTTTTTTACCACTATAAAATTGACTTTGAAGCATATACGAGTGGTACGTAGGAGTACAGCTAAACAAGAGCACCAGCTGATTGGTTGGACTTGTACGTACTACTAAAATCACACAGCGTTCAGGCGTTCACACACCACGTGGCACCACATGGGCGCATGGCACGCGCCCCCGTTCCCACGACACGGGGCGGTTTGGCTGGCTCGCCCTGTTGCTGTTGGGCGGGCGCGGGAGGGAGGCGTGAGAGAAAAGAGGCGGCCACGCTTTGCCTTCCTAGTTGCCTGCCGCAACATGACGGCTGGCTTGGTGGTGGGGGACGCGGTTGCATGCCGGGTCGGCGAGGAACACGCTGATGCGCCCTACTAGTCAGCTAGACAGCCTAGTGAATTAGGTAGGCCTCGTCGCGCGGGCCTACCTGCCAGCGGGCACGAGTCGGCGCTCGTTTGAGCCTGCCGGCTGCCGCAGTGCCGCTGCCCGGCCCTGGTACGCGTCGTCGAGCGCAGCGCCGTCGGGGGCCACCACCAGGCCACGCATGCTGCGCCGTGCCGCTGTCACTGTTACCAGCCACCAGCGGCTACACGGCTCGTCGTAGTACGGTACTCCTACTCCGTACTCCTACTTGTAGGAGTAGCAGCATAACAGTGGTCAGTCGAGCCGTCGAGGAGTAGCCCCAGGCCTCCCGTGCTCCTCTGGCTCCATCTCAGAACACGAGGCCCAGGCTGTGCGGCAAGCGCCGGGGATCCCTAGTACCCGACGGGACGACACGTAAAAGACAGGCCGGATCGGCGTGGCCCGCGTCGGCCCCATCCGGGCACCGTCGGACGCAGGGGGAGGTGACAGCACGAGACGCGCGGGGCGGGTGGCACGCCACGCTCGCCCGTACGGGTACGTACCAGTCCCACAGCGCTGGCCGGCCAGGAAAGATTCGCGCTCGCGCCGTGGGGGCACCCTGCAGCAGCAGCCCGCGTACGGCAGTGCGTGCATCGGTCTGGGTGGGGGCGCCACCCGGAGCCAGCCACTCGCCCGTGAAAGCTTTTACTTCTACGGAAAGAACCGAGCAGCGCCAACCTGTTCCCAAGTAGCCACCTCGCCCACCCACCCACCACGCGCAGGCCACCCATCCACTGATCCATCCAATTCCACCCGTCTCTCTCGGCGCCCTCACCCTCCACTCCGCTGCTGCCTCCTGCCTCCTCTGCCTCCTCCTTGCCGCCGCGACCGCGACCGCCGCTCGCTGTCGAGGCCAGCCAGAGGGAGGAGTATAGTCAAGTCCGCGGCCACCTCACCTGCCCAGGCTCAGACCTCCCCCCGCCTCGCTCAACGCAAGCCGCCTCGTCTCCTCCACGCCACACACGCCGCGCTCGCTCACCCCCGCCTTCCCTTCCCTTCCCTTCCCTTCCCTTCGACCCTTCCCCGGCGACCCGGATCCCACCACGCCCGCGGCGCCAGCGAGCTCCCCCGACGAGTCGTCAGCCTCCCGGAGCTCAGCACGCAGGTGGGGCCAGTGAGCTGTGCAGAAGGTCTGGTCTGGTTGCGCGTGTTCCCGCGGCCGTCGTCGGGGCAGATCCATGGAGCTCAGCCGCCCGCAGCGCGGATAGTGCTGCACGTCTGCACCAGCGGGTCGCGAGGACTGCCCACCTCCTGCTGTTTGGTCTCGCTAGCCATTTTTGAGGCGTCTGGCTTGTAAGATATGGCCACGGCGATGGACGCGCCCAACCCTGGAGCGGCTGCTGGCTCAGGTTGGGATTCCTGTCTCTAGCAGTCTAGCTGAATTTCTCGTTCCTATACTATTGTCCTGTACTTGCAAGCTACAGTATGCCTTCTTTGGATTTGCTGCGGTTTCGCTAAATTGTCTTGTGCGAAACTACTGAGGCACTGGGGCCTGGATAGGGTCGGGTTCGTTGGGTGGACTTCGATAGTTGACTAATTTGTGTGCAAAACGTCGCAGAATTCTCGTAATTTCAGTTGGTATCGGTAAACGAGAATTCTAGGGGGGGACCAACAATTTTCCTTAATAATTTGGCTTGCCAACTCTCGATGAATCGTGTAGATTTGTTCTCTGTCAAGTGTCGACAGAGCAGTTTCATATTTTGACCACGTTTTGTCACCAGTTCTCAAATGGGGAAAAGTTTGGATCAGGGACCTATCCCAAACAGAAATGCTATACAACACACATATGTTTTAGAAAAAAAAAACACATGGATTTTTTTATCTCTCTCCCTCTCTCTTTCTCACCGGTGACCACCGGCGCCGGCGCCGGTGACCGGCGAGCTCGCCCCGGCGCCCGCGCCCACGCCGGCCACGGCGGGCGGTGGCGGCGCCCGCGCCCGGCGCGCCTCCCCGCGCCGGCCATGGCAGCGGCGGAGGCTGGATGTTGGATCTTGGATCTTAATCCTATGGTGCAAAAAAATTCATGTGTTGAAACTGCATAAAACACATGGTTGTGTGGTAGACAGACTCATCACAAATCTAGATCTGTTACTTTGATTTTTAGTGTCTGCTATATGAGGCTAGTTTAGCACCAGTATTGTTGCCTCTGAAATGGGATATTTTTGATGTGGTGGATCCATGCGCTCCGGTTCAGTTTGCAACTTTGCATTCTTTGTAATGGTTCAGATAGCTCATGATTAGTATTTACAAAATCAGAACTATCTCATAAAATAGAGCAAAAGAACTATTTCTGTACGTTCTGTATTTGCTCTGATGACCCATTGATGCAAATTAATTGCTTCTATTCAGGAGGAATGCCTAGTGACGCCCTGTACCGGGAGCTGTGGCATGCGTGTGCTGGGCCGTTGGTCACAGTACCTAGACAAGGCGAGCGCGTCTATTACTTCCCCCAGGGCCATATGGAGCAGGTATTCACTGGTTTGATCAATCTTGTATTTTGTGGTGCCTCCGTGTGCACATGCATTTGGGGTTTCTTTTCCTCAAATTGTTGATGATTTCTTTTATAGCTTGAGGCGTCTACACACCAGCAGCTTGATCAGTACTTACCGATGTTCAATCTACCACCCAAGATCCTATGCAGTGTCGTCAACGTGGAACTACGGGTCAGTGTGTTTTTTAGAATCTGTCTGGTGCAACCTCCTTGCATGTGTGTTTTGGGGGATTGGTTATTCTATGTACTGAACTGAGAAATCTTATAATTATGCTCAATCTTTTAAACTTTGCAATTCAGGCTGAAGCTGATTCGGATGAAGTTTATGCTCAAATTATGTTGCAACCAGAAGCTGATGTAAGTCTGCATAATTTTACTCTTGAGAATATTCTTTCATTTCTGTTTTTGGTTTAGTACTACTTCATTGCCTTTTTACATAATTACATGTTCATACATTGATTTGTTATTTTCCTAAATATGTTTGATCAGCAAAATGAACTCACCAGCCTGGACCCTGAACCACAAGAACCTGAAAAATGCACTGCCCATTCCTTCTGCAAGACACTGACAGCTTCAGATACGAGCACTCATGGCGGTTTTTCTGTTCCTCGGAGGCATGCTGAAGAATGTCTTCCTCAGCTGGTTAGCATCAAAGTCATTGTATGACTCAGAGATTTCTTGAGCAGCAGATATATTACTGTATGCAACCTTTTGTAGGACATGTCTCAGAATCCACCTTGCCAAGAACTGGTTGCCAAAGATCTCCATGGCACTGAATGGCATTTTCGGCACATTTTTCGAGGTGATTTGCACTCTTCACTATGCTTGAAAATTCCTTCTGTTGAAAAATAGCCTTTCTTAATTTGTATTTATATCTCTTAATTTTGATGTAATCTGCTCTAGCGTTGCATAAACACAGAGAAATATTCTGTAGTTCCATTTCCATTTTTTAGTCTCATGCCTGCCTTCCCATGTTTCTTTCAGGGCAACCCAAGAGGCATCTACTTACCACTGGCTGGAGTGTCTTTGTTAGCTCAAAAAGATTGGTTGCTGGGGATGCATTTATCTTCATGAGGTACAATACCCTGACTCCCAGAGCATGATAACTGGAGAGCTTTGGTGCATTTTGCACCTGTCACCCAGCTTTTGGTTTAATTGGGGATTGTTGGAATCCGGAATCCTGCGTAGGTTGTAGCCAAAGGAGGTGGGAGGCTGGGGCTTTGGTTCCTGGCGGCGGCGAGGCTGAGACGCCGTGTTGTCTCTCTGTGTGTGCGTGTGGAAAGGCAGGAGTGACAGGGAGGGAGCGGGAGAGATTATTCAGTCTCCAGCTTGTCTTTATTAACAATAGAGTCTAGGCTTTAGCCAAATCCTAATGAACACTTGAACTAATCCAACTTGACTGAGCCTATCGTCTAGGGAGTCTGGTGGCCAGGACCAGGCCCAGGTGCGTGCCCCTCTCAGCCAATGCATGCTGCGCCTGAACTAATTGACTGAGATCCTTTAGTCCTCAGCCACTGCATGCTGGTGACCCAGGGCCAAGCCTAGGTGCCTCTCAGCCATGCATGCTGGTGACCAGGACCAGGTCCAGGTGCCTCTGAGCCACTAGTCCTGGCCATAACATCTACCATAACATCTCTCCCTCCCTCGACAAACATCTCGTCCTCGAGCTGAAACGTATACTACGCCTACCATAACATCTCTCCCCCCTCGGCAAACAGCTCGTCCTCGAGCTGAAACGTCGGGAACGCGTCGCGGAAGGTGTCGATAGGCTCCCATGTAGCCTCCACCTCAGGCAGTCCCGGTGGTGCCATGGTCGGCACCCTCATCCTGAGACTAAGAGTCATCGTTGTCGTAGTCGGTCACCTCCAAGTCGAAGAGGCGCTGGCACTTGTGGCCACGCTGGACGTTTGCTGCACCACCCGTCGCTGCGCTGCCGGCAGCGCCTCAGCTGCTTGCACTGCCTCCTCCGCTCCCTGGCTCCACGCGCCTATTCCGTCGTCTATCACCAGCCGAGCTCGCTGAACGTCGCCGGCAAGGCCTCTGCTACAACTGCGACAAGCAGTATGTGTGCATCCACAAGTGCTAGCGCCTCTTCTACTTGGAGGTGACTGACTACGACAACGGCGACTCTCAGGATGAGGGTGCCAATGATGTCACCGCCGGGACTGCCTGAGGCAGAGGCTACATGGGAGCCTGTCGACACCTTCTGCGACGTGTTCCCGACGTTTCAGCTGTTTGTCGAGGGAGGGAGAGATGTTATGGTAGGCGTAGTGGCGTAGTATACCAGTGGCTCAGAGGCGCCTGGACCTGGTCCTGGTCCTGGTCACCAGCATGCATGGCTGAGAGGTGCCTGGACTTGGCCCTGGTCACCAGCATGGCTGAGGAGTATAGGATCTCCATCAATTAGTTCAGGCGCAGCATGCAGTGGCTGAGAGGGGCACGCACCTGGGCCTGGGCCTGGCCACCAGACGAGCTGGAGATTGAATAATCTCTCCCGCTTCCTCCCTGTCACCCCAGCCTTTCCACACGCACACACACACAGAGACAGCACGACGTCTCAGCCTCGCCGTTGCTGGGAACCGAAGCCCCGGCTTCCCACCTCCTTTGGCTACAACCTAGCAGGATCCCGGATTCCAACAGGGATGAACTTATATATTTCTGTACTCATTATGGATTATTTTTTACTAATTATTGTTCTGCTGAATGGCAGAGGTGAAAATGGTGAGCTACGGGTTGGTGTAAGGAGGCTCATGAGACAAGTAAATAGCATGCCGTCATCTGTCATATCAAGCCACAGCATGCACCTTGGAGTCTTGGCCACAGCCTCCCATGCCATCTCCACTGGAACCCTCTTTTCTGTTTTCTACAAACCAAGGTTTGATATTTTTTGTTTGCTTTATCTATACATTTGACTGCAGTACACTTATTAATGGATGTCCAACTGTTCTGTGTATTTGACTGTACTTTCTATTTGCTAATTTCACTCTGTTTCAAACTTCGAAGTCAGTTCTTTACTCTGCTTCAGTTGTAAACAAGCTTTTTGTTTGTAGCTAACTAGCTACTGCATCCATTGAGTGATGTCTTATCCCTTGCCCTTTTCGTTGCACCAAAGTTACCTACTACGGTTGTCCTAGTTAGCATTAATGATCTTGCCCGCTAAACTTTATGCTCCTTTTCTGTGTTCCCAGAACTAGCCGATCTGATTTTATTGTGAGTGTTAACAAGTACCTTGAAGCTAAGAAGCAGAAAATATCTGTTGGAATGAGGTTTAAGATGAGATTTGAAGGTGATGAGGCTCCTGAAAGAAGGTATGGTTTGGACTTGCTTTCATTTAAACATTTTATTTATGCTGGGAGCAAATTAACATTTCTGTCTCTAATTACAGATTCAGTGGAACAATTATTGGCATCGGCAGTTTGCCGGCAATGTCAAAATCTCTGTGGGCAGATTCTGACTGGAGATCTCTAAAGGTAATGACAATTTTTTTCTTTGTTAAATTAGTAGTGTGCTATCTGCAAATTGTGCAGAGTGATTCATTATATTTATTTTCTTTATCTTCTAAATGTTAACCTAAACTGTAATTTTTACCAGGTTCAATGGGATGAACCTTCATCCATTCTCCGTCCAGATAGAATCTCACCATGGGAAGTGGAGCCCCTGGATGCAGCTAATCCACAATCCCCTCAACCTCCATTAAGGACTAAGCGTCCACGACCCCCAGCTTCACCTTGTATGGTTTCAGAACTGCCTTCAGGTTTTGGTAAGGAGTCCCTTAATACTTGTTATGAAATATGGTTCAGCTTCTAGAATGCTCAGTTCATGGATACCATAAGCATTCTTGGATATGAATACGATGTGCTCTCCTGCTGTATCTGAGTTCTTGTGTCATTCATGTTAGGACTCTGGAAATCTCCAACTGAATCATCCCGTACACTCTCATTTTCGGAACCTCAACGGGCTCGAGAGTTATTTCCTTCAATTCCCACGTCAACCTTCTCATCTTCATCAAACGTCAGTTTCAATTCAAAGAATGAGCCATCCATGCTAACCAGCCAGTTCTACTGGTCAGCAAGGGATACAAGAGCTGACTCCTGTGCTGCTAGCACCAACACAGTCATAGTTGAAAAGAAGCAAGAGCCAAGTTCTGGTGGTTGCAGATTGTTTGGAATTGATATATGCTCAACTGTGGTTACTGCTCCAGGTGTTGGTTATGAGCAGACTGCTGCCTCTGTAGAGTTGAACTCGGATAAGCTCTCACAGCCATCTGATGTCAACAATTCTGATGCCCCAGCAGCTAGCAGTGAGCGTTCACCTCTTGAATCCCAAAGCCGGCAAGTGAGGAGCTGCACCAAGGTGATTTTATATCACATTAGTTTTTTTCTCATTGGGTTCTATTCTTGCTTGTGGTTCACTGGGTAACTGATTAATGTTGTGCAAACAGGTAATTATGCATGGAATGGCAGTTGGAAGGGCTGTAGACCTGACAAAGCTTAGTGGCTACAGCGATCTTTGCCAGAAGTTGGAGGCGATGTTTGACATCCACGGGGAGCTAGGTTCCACACTCAAGAAATGGCGGGTCATTTTCACTGATGATGAGGATGACATGATGCTTGTTGGGGATGATCCTTGGGAGTAAGAACCCTTCATCTTTGTATGAAACAAGTACTTTTTTTTTCCATTATTGAAGTCCTAATCCCTGTGCAATGCATCTTCCTTCAGTGAGTTTTGCAGAATGGTGAAAAGGATTTACATTTACACATATGGGGAGGCAAAGAAGCTGACATCCAAGTCAAAGTTACCTGCTAGCAGTGACAGCAGCAAGCTGAGCGCTGTAAACTCACTGTCTGAATGACTCTTTCAACAAAGACTGCAGAGTGCTAACGTCCCTCAAATTTTGTTGTTTCCACCATTGCCCATCATTGCTCCGTGGGCTGAAGTTGTGGTTGGCATTCAATCGCCTTGAGTTTTGGAGGCCTTTGGACTGCCATGCCAGCATGAGCCTCCTGGAAGAGGCACTCTGGCATCTGCGTGCCATTTCCCCTTTGTCTGTGCCGTTTGGTAGGAGTATCCATGGCTTATTTAGCAGGTCCCTGGTTCGAAGAAAGAACCGGTCAGCTGCAAGATGGACGGTGCCTTGCCTCTCCTTCAACTACTTAGCTAGTAGTTAGGACTATGTATGTAATGAATGTATATAGTGCCATTAAGATGCCTATGCCCTGGTATTGAGGTTCGGGCATTTGTACGCATCAATTGTGGTTCGGTAATTGTTATCTTTAGCAGCAACAAACCTGAGGGTGTAGGTGGTCAGGTGGGAGATGTATGTTTCTTTCAGCAACAATCTTTGCGGAAGTGATCTGTATATAGTCTACTGTTTAATAAACAATGTTGTGCAACTTGTGCTCCAAGCCTTGCACCATAGAGTGCCGTATTTCTTGTGCTGGCTGTTTGCTTGATGACTGTCTATTTTCGTGCATTTGGCTGTGCCTTTTGTTGTATGAGGAGCGAGAACCAGGGGACCACTGGACCAGTCTGCAGTGTGCCCTGCCCCTCATCAGTCCAAAAAAGAAGAGAGGCCTCAGTTGTGCTCCTGTTTCAGAATACATCATATCAGAATCCAGAACCATTTTGATGAGAAACGTTGTGCCGTGTTCGATTTATTCATGTGGCAGCTGGTTACGCGTCAGGCTCCACAACAATGGTTCAAACTTATAACCGCTATTAATTTTTTTAGCACACTTATAACCGCTAGTTGTGTTTCTCTGGGGCCACTAATATCAGGAAGGACACCCCAAACTACATGCCAACGGGCAGCGGGTGCGTGCTTACATCTGTCTTACACGTTTTCGTATGCTAGTTGCTTACTTCTAGTGCCGGTAGGGCCGCCCACAGCATCCCTTAGCAATGGTAAGCTATAGTAGCTTCGTGTAGTTTTACGGTTAAAAAAATATAGTAAGCTTTTTGTAGTTAACATATCCTGTAACTTTATTTCTGACTTGGTAAAGCTATACTTACAGGTAAGAAAGAACAAGTTTATCGAGATTCTTCCTATTAATGTGGGATGTTTAGTCCTCGCAAAAAAAAAGTGGGATGTTTAGGCGCCTGCACATACTATTGACAGCTTGGTAAGTATATTCAGAATGTGTCTATTGTGGAGCAATGCTGCTGTTGCTTTAAACTCCAAGTAAATCATTTGATCTTCAATCTATTGTAGGTGGATCGTGTGAAAAATGTTGTCTCCGAAGGTGTCCGGGAGATCTGGTTGAGCAGCGAAGAGACTGGTGCTTATGGTAATCTCGATGTCCAATTCTTTCTGGGTCTTCTAATTGTAGATACATGTGGTAATTACATGTTAATTTACTTCTGGCTTGCAAAATTTTCAGGAGGGGATATCGGTACAAAATCCTCCTTTCAACACTTGTTCTGGAAAGCTTTTTAGCAGCAAACATACAACATGAATATTCTTTCTGTCTTGGATCTGACTCGGTGTATGATTGCACATCCCAGTCAATGAATCGTGAATACGCTGTTGGCGAGTTCAGAAAGGTAGTTGACACTCTGTGTGAGCTTGTCCCTGGAATGCAAATTGCTACAGATATATTATCTGTGGCTTCCCTGGTACGCTAAGCAAGTTCTCAGTTTAGCAATTCGCTCTTAGTTATTATTTATAAGTACATCTGAATGATATTTTATTAATTGAATGCCACAAAAGATGTTGCTGCTAATAGTTTGCACTGAACTGACATCCTATTTTCAGGTGAGACTGATGAAGATTTTTCTGAGACTATTAACCTCGTAAAGGAATATCAATTCCCTCAAGTCCACATTTCACAATTTTACCCCAGACCAGGTAACTTGTTCTTTCTCAAGCCACAATGTTCCATAAAACTACAAGTATTGATTGTCGATATTCTTTTCCTACATGTATATCTACAATGTTTTTTTTTTTGTAGGGACGCCTGCTGCTAGGATGAAGAAGGTACCAAGCAATGAAGTGAAAAAGCGGAGTCGTGAATTGACTTCAGTTTTCGAATCATTTTCACCATACCAAGGAATGGAAGGCAAATTAGAGAGGATCTGGATCACCGAGATTGCGACTGATGGTGTTCACTTGGTAAGTGCTAAAGTGCATACCAATTCTTGTCAGCTGTCACTGATTGCTAATCATGTTCATGCCCGGTGCAAAGCTGACCCTGAAATGATCTTTTCCTGCACAGGTTGGACATACCAAGGGATATATCCGGGTGCTGGTAATTGCTCCTGATAGCTTGTTAGGAACGTCAGCAAATGTGAAGATCACATCTGTTGGACGATGGTCTGTCTCTGGTGATGTGATAGAAGGATCTGTTGCAGTAGGAGAAGCACAGAAGCAAACTAGTGCCAAACTGAAGAAAGAAGACATACACCAACAGGTGGAGGAAGCTGGTTTTTGTGCCACTGACTCTTGTGGCGCCTGGGATGCTCCTATGAGGCACAACAGTGTGGCCCAGAACGATGTGAAGACACGTACGTCTCATGCCCCGCAGACCTGTGGTGATGTTACTCGTCAGGAGGCACTCCAGAGTCCAACCTATGCTTGTGAGGAGAAGCGTAGAGGGAACTACGAAAGAAAGCGACAGCGGTGCAGCACATTTACTAGGGAAGGAACAGCAGGTGAAAGTAGTAACTAGGAGAGGGGAGGGACTAAAGTTTAAAGACTAAACATGAGCCTAATTAGGTTTAATAGATTCGTCTAGTAAATTAGGCTCAATCTGTATAATTAGTTTTATAATTACTCTACGTTTAATACTCTAAATTAGTGTCAAACATTCGATGTAATAGGGACTAAATTTTAGTAGAGGGGAACCAATCACCCCCTAAATATTGACACGATTGTGTGGTGCGGTTTGGCCGTGAGCTTTGCTGTAACGATAGCCCTGCCTGTAATCCGTACCAGCAAGATTTCATCGTCATCCTCCCCCTAGGCTAAGGCGGTGTTCGTAACTTGTACTGGTTGTTCTCGAACGTGTCGCTAATCAATTTTGGCGGTTTGTTTACTCGATCTGTCTGTATGTCGTTGCAAAATTGTGCCACTATACAAATACATGGTTGCAAACAAGTTTTCTCATAGCCTTCTGATGTTTATTTGCTAGTGTGTTCGGAATAATTTGCACCGATACCCGAGCCTTGACTTCGGCTGTGTCATCACTTTTTTTTTTTTTGAAAGAAGACTGTCATTACTTTTCTTTTGAAAGTAAACTGTGTGTCCTCACTCATCAGACAAAGATAACCGAAAAAGTGAGCAGGTACCAAATAAACAGGCCGGAGCAAAAAAAAAAAAAAAAAAGAAACCAAAAAATATTGAGCAGGCACCACAAAAAGATGGAAAAATAAGCAAAATAAATGACGGACTTCGATCCTGTGAGCTGTGTTTTATGGGCCACCACGCTTCCGCTGCGCCACTCTGATATGCATAAAGTGGTATACAAATAATGTTATAAATGGATACATTTTCAGAGAGATGCTTCTTTGCATCTTTTTTGGGACAGACACAGATACGAACGGTCGATCCGTGAAAGGACTTGGAATGGGCACTCAGCGATGATATACGTCCATCCTCTGCACTGCAGGCCTGCGTCTGCGGGCTGGGCGCGGCCAGTCCGCCACCGATCCCAACACCGTCGTCGACGGTGAAGAGTAGCTGTGCACACAGCCGCACAAGCGACCAGGAGATCCAGCCCCCCGCCGAACTACGGCAATGTAGGCGTCTTGCTTGGTCTCTAGGAGATACGTACGTACCCCTTGCCCTTGTGTACGTAGACACAGCGTCGATCACTTCCTTGGTCCTTGCCAAGTTGCTGCCACGTGCGCGGGACAGTGCGTTCATACAATCGTGTATACCGTGGACAAGCGTATCCTACAAACAAGTGGAAGTGGCACGTAAGCGCACCATGTCAGCTCGTGTTTGGCCGTTTTTAATTTGGGCAACAAAGATAACTGAAAAATAGGCAAAGTGAGCAGTCACAAAAGAAACAGGCGGAAGCACACACAAAAAAAAAAAAAAAAGAAAAAGGAAAACTCAAACAGAAAAAGCGAGCAGGTACCAAGGAAACAGGCTGAAGCACAAAAGATCTAAAAAAAATCGCTAATGCTCCACCATGGGTGTCCGTTCCGCGTCGGTCAGTCCAGACGTGGCTAGCTGGGTTGCGGACCGGCCCACAGGCATGCTCCCTTCACCGGCATTCACGTTTCAAAAAATAAAAAAGAAGAAAAGAGAGGACATCTTATCTTCCCATTCGCATCAGCTCCGCACCGCCCGTCCTTCGGTTGCGTATGCAAGAGCTCTGCTAGCACCCACATCCACACTAGCACCGCCGCCATCCGCATACGTACGAGCGTCGAGTGTTGCCGCCAGCCGCGTACGCACGAGCTCCACCAGCCACGCTACGCCACCCGCCCATGGTGCGGGAGATGCTTGGTCGGCGGCCAGGAAGACCTCCGCCAACGCTTGCCCACCTCGCTGCGGTCGGGTGTGGAGCTCGCCCGCGTGCAGCACACGGCAGCCCAGGCGGAGCCTGCCCTCGCACATCTCGCACCCGCCTACTCAGTACGCCATGGCCGAGGCGGAAGTCGCCCGCGTGCAGCCCGCGACGGCCGGGATATAACTCCACACGCAGACGAGGATCCATTCTCCCATGTAGCAAGGAGATGTTGCGCCAAAACTGCATGTTGCAAGCGTCTATTTCAAGTGTTTCAAATATTTCAGAGGTATGTTGCAAATGTTTTATATCGATATTGCAAAAGTAGATTAGGATGTTGCACATGTTGCAATGGTGTTTTCAAGTGTATGTCTTAAATGTTTCATTTGTTTCAGACATATGTTTAAAATGTTTATCTAGATGTTGCAAAAGTAGATCTGGATGTTGCATATACATACATATTGCAAGCAAGTGTTTAGGTGTTTCTAAGTGTTTAAGTGTTTGACCACTGTCTTATTCAAAAATTTGTGTAAAATGTTCTTTAAATAAGTATTGGTTTATTAATAAAAATTCTTCAAGAATAACTTAAATTTGACTATATTTGCACAAATTTTTTGAATAAGACGAGTAGTCAAACTTGGGGCCAAAAAAGTCAAACGTCTTACAATTTGGGATGGAGGGAGTATGTTGCAAGTATTTTATCTCGATGTTGCATATGTTTTACAATGGCTACGAACGTGTTTTCATGGTGTTTCAAACGTATGTTGCAAGTATTTCAAACGTATGTTGTAAGTGTTTCATCTATATGTTGTAAAAGTAGATCTTGATCCTGCATATGTTGTAGTGGGATCCATTTTTAGCAGCCACCTGCTGCAGCAGCTGGACGCGCCTGCATGCGAGTGGTTGTGGAGGGGGTGTCACGCTGCAGGCGTGGACACGACACGCGCGCGCGCCCAGTGCGGGCATGAGTCACGGTGTGAGCACGGGACATGGAGCAGTGCGGGCCCCAATTTAAAGCAGGCGCAGCAAGCGCAGTAGGCATGGACGTCTGTATGCTAACCCGTTCGGACGTCCGGGTGCTAGACGTTAAAAAAAAAGAGGTCACCAGAGTGTACACCCCAACCCCTATGAGTTACCTCCGGCCTGAAGCACAGTGGAAACGCACTGGAACTGAACATGACTTCGTCCAACAAGTAGCCTGAACCCTGAAGCGCCGCCAACGGCGTGAGGTTTCCTGTTGGCGGCGACGGGCGCTGCAAGCCCTGAGAAGTGCGAATGCCATCGGGAGAAACGCGTAGGGAAGGGACGCCATAATCGTGCGGAGACGAGAGGGTTCTGGGTTCATAGATTGTGTCCCAAGGTTGAGTGCGGTCGACATGTTCATGAGATGGATATGCATGGAAGGGCAGCTGCTGACACTGGGTGAAGCACAGAAATTATGGTCAGCACAAGACCGAAAAAAAAACTGACATTGATGATTGATTAGTTAACAATATGGACTTGGATCGGGAGAATGAGGACCTCCTATCAAGGACTAACTGATCTAAAGCTAAAAGGATCAGGTTACCTTTTTGTCCAGAGGAAACAAAAATACCACATATAATTGACGGAGGCCTTCAGTCCTGCAGTACTGCAAAATAACATTTGTAGAGAAACGTCAAAATTATCCCCGTTGCACATAAATTGTGGACGCCACCGACCCACCGGATGAAAGAAAGATAATAATAACCTATTTCTACAAACTAGCAACTAAAAATAACCATAGTTCATCTAAAAACGACTAATTAATATACTAATTTGTAGCGAGCCACAGGACACACGCTACTACCGTCAGTATTTGTAGGGACAACTGACGATGGTTTGTGGAGACGGTTTTATCAGCCGTCCGTACCGTAGCGTCTCTACAAATCAAGGGTTTATAGGGGCAGTTTCCAAGCCACTCCTACAAATCAATTTGTAAAGGCAGCTGGTGTCACCGGCCACCCCTATAATTTCTATTTGTAGGGCGTTAAAACGCTCCTACAGTAAATTTTTTCGCCAAAAAATTTAAAATTTGAAAATGCAAATATGACCAAAACATATATACATATATATATACAATACATAATTCACAAGGACATTATATCAACGGCTAATTTACAAGAAGATATATACATTACAAACTCGTAATAATTTAGATTACTTCATTACAAACACATAATAATTTAAAGGGGCTATTGCGTTCTTGCCCCTATTTTGAACCCCAATTGTGATTTTACCCCATTTTCTTCCACTTTGTGTTTTTACCCCTACTTTTCTAAATCGAAGGTTCAGTTTACCCCTACTTCGTGAACAGCAGGTAACGGTGTTAAAAAAGTTGAAAGATGACAAGTTTACCTTTCCGAATATTGTGTTTTTGCCCCTATTTCAAACCCCAATTATGATTTTACCCCCACTTTCTTTCACTTTGTGTTTTTACCCCTACTTTTCTAAAACAAAGGCTCCGTTTACCCCAATTCTTAACTCAGTTATCTACATCGGATCAAAGCAATTAAAAATTAACAAAAGCCCTGTGAAAAGACAAACTTACCTCTTATCTTTCGTCGTCTCTCTCTCGCTCGTCCCTCTCAGCCGCTGCGTGATGATGGCGTGCAGGCAGGCTGTGAGATCGTTTGGGATGGAAGCAAAGTGAGCGCGCTCCAGGCGGGCGCAACTCTAGCGGATGGCGGCGCGCGCTGCCGCTGGCCCGGAGGCACTGTGGCATCCGCTAGAGTTGAGAGAGAGAGGCGTGTCTTGCTCCATGCTCTGCTACTGCCACAGACGCGACGCGCCAATGGCCGGCGTGCTCGCGGCGTGCCTGTAAGCGAAGCCGACCATGGATTCAAGCAGCCGCCTCTCTCTCTCAACTCTAGCGGATGGCTGGAGTGTGCGGCGCCCACCGGCCTTCCGCCTTTTCGACTCCCATACATCCACTCAGCTGAGAGAGAGAGAGGGACGACCATGAGAGAGACGACCGAGAGATAAGGGTAAGTTTGTCTTTTCACAGGGCTTTTGTTAATTTTTAATTGCTTTGATCCTGATGTAGATAACTGAGTTAAGAATTGGGGTAAACGGAGCCTTCGTTTTGGAAAAGTTAAGGTAAAAACACAAAGTGGAAGAAAGTGGGTGTAAAATCACAATTGGGGTTTGAAATAGGGGCAAAACACAATATTTGGAAGGGCAAACTTGTCATC